TAATCATGTATTACTCAAGTCTTAAGACAGGAGTATAATATGCTAGAAGTGACTTGGATGCTGTAGTACAGAAATGGGCAGAGAGAGGAATTATGAATAGGGACAATTTGGGAATGTACTACTGAGAGTTTACACTCATAGCAACCTATTTGACAACTAACAATAAGCTGTCACTGGAGGAATCTTACTGTGTTTTTCTGTATGTGTTCTGTAGAGTAATTGTAGAAAAGCTAATGTGGAAGTTAGAAATCAAGTATCCAGACTATAAGGACAGACTTGTGTATAATATTGCACAAGTTGTAGCTACAGTAGGGTCAATCCTTAGGGGATCTACACTCACAGTAGTTAGTAGATCAGATATGCTTACAAGTTAGCCTGTGATTCTAGTCAAACAGGAGGAAGTTAATTTGACAAGTGTTGTAGAAGCACTTTAGAGTCTACAATCATAAGTAGAGTCAATGAAGCAAGGCCCAAGATCAGGAGGAGGAGGATATGGTAGAGGTTCAGGTAGAGGATCAGGAAACAGAAGTTGTGTGTTTTGTAGAGAATCTGGACATTTTATATACAGTTGCTCAAAAGTGTTAGAATACATTACAAACAGGAAGTGTGTGTGGAGCCCAGACAATAAAATTATTATGGCTAACAGAAACACCATTTCTAGGATAGGGCAGACCTTGAAGGAAAAGGTTGATAGCTACTTTCTGTTGTTGCAAATACACTCTGTTAGTTTTGTACAAGCTACACCAGTTGTAGTACACAGTCTAGGAGCTCTAGTACTAGTCACAATGGTAGAGGTTGATGAAGAAGAAGAAGAGGAGGTGGAGAACCTTACAGAGCTTGAAAGGCTTGAAGTAATGCTAGGAGAAGTCTGTAAGAAGGTTGTGGAACAATCAAAAGCAAAGGATGTAAAGGGGAAGGGAAAGTAAGGGTGTGATTACAAAGTAGCAAAACCTACAGATATTAGACCAGTACTAGCAAGTATACAGTAAGACACAACTAGAATGAAGGAGTACCTGTACTACTACATTGTACTAATTAAGGACCCAGAAATAGCTGAAAGAGTTTTAGAACACAGCTTGGACCAGGAAGTGTGTATTACACAGTAGGAGTTGCTTACATTGTCTCTAGAGCTTCAGAAGAAGACTTGCAAATTAGTTACATTAAGGTGCTAAACAGATAGAAACACTACATTCTATAGTAGAGAGCTGCCTGTTACAGGATTGAACATTTGTGTGCTACAGTAGTATTATAATGTGTTAGCAGAAGTCAACCATTTGCTTCTACTCTGTACACTCAAAACAATAGTAGACAGAAAAATTGAGGTAGATTGTGTACTGGACCAGGGTTCAAGTATGAACATAGTTTGAGCTGATGTATAGGAAGCATTAAAGATTCTGTTGGATCAAGATATGGCTGTTATGCTTGAAACAGTAGACACAGGTCAGGGATTGACTGTAAGACAGATTCTAAGGTTACAACTCTCTATAGGAATGCTTTATGTAAATATTACAGTACAAGTTGTACAGAAAGCTCTGTTCAGGATCTTACTAGGTAGACTGTTCTTTACAACTACAGAATGTGAAACCAAAGATTTTGCAAACAGGGAGCAGTACATAACACTTTAGGACCTGAATGATCTGTCAAGGAGATAGTCTCTGTCTACTAGAGTAAAGACACTGTAATACAAGCTAGAGACAGATTTTTGAGAAGTATTAAGGAACTGGAAACACTACAATTCCAGGGAGATACACATATGACAAGCAGATTAGGAACAAACAAGTGGAAGAGTAATAGTAAGGCAATGATTCTATACAGAGGAAGAGGCAAAGGAAATAGAGTAAATGCAAGACAGGATTACAGTCAGGGATTATGAGTCACAGAATCATGGATGATAGAGGCAGCAGAGTCACAGAAGTCAGTAATTCTCAATACACCAGATGACAAACTCAACACAGTTTTGTAGGCTTACAAGAAAGTTGTGAATAAGGTGTGCTCTGTACTTAGAGTGCTTCTGAAGGAGTTCTACATAGTCAGACAACAGCACCCTAATCCCCTAGCTGGGATGCCTATATTACTAACAATACTATAGCCCTTTGTACCTACTAGCAGACTTACAGAAGAACAGATGTAAGCAATTAGAGAATTGTGATCAGGATTCCTATGGCCAGAAGAATGGAGGCTTGCAGAGAACCTATTAATACTATAGTCAGAAGTGTTTGTATGGACAGAAGAGGAGCAAGGAACATTGGACCCTACATATTTTGATCCTATTTGAATTCCAACTGTAGAGCATGTACTATGGGTAGAGAGAAGTATTCTGATTGTACACAGAATTGAGAAGAGGGTGATTGAGTTGTTGAAGGAGAAGTTGTGTAACAGAGTGATAGAACTGTTGAATTCCTTGTATTGATTGTAATAGTTTTGTGTCACAAAGAAGGACAGAGTATCCTTGTGATTTATTATCAATTTGCAGAGGTTAAACACAGTTACAATAAAGGATACAGCTGTTCTGCCAAACATGGAACTAATCACAGAAAGCTGTAGAGGTTGTACATACTATACACAACTCAATTTGCATATTGTGTTTGATCAGAGGAGTTTGAATGAGTAGTCTAGAGATCTGACAATGTTCCAGACACTCCTAGGGACATTTCACTTGACAGTATTACTAATAGGTTACACTAACTCAGTACAGATTCTGTATAATGACTTGGTGTTTATTCTTTACAACAAGATTCTGGATGTTATAAACCCATACACAGACAATGTTCTAGTAATTGGACCCTGCTCAAGATATGAGAAAGCAGACAGAACAGAGGAAATGCTTCCCAAGAACAAGGGAATACAGAAGTTTGTATACAAGCATCTGATGGATGTAAACTGGATTTTGCAGAGAGTGAAAGCTGTAGGAGGGACATTTTCTGGGAAGAAGATGATGCTTTGTAACAAATCTGCAATATTCATTAGGCATAAGCTGACATATTTAGGGAGAGAGGCTGAAGAATTGTAAATACAGAAGGTTAGGGATTGGCTGCCTTGTAAGAGTGTTATGAAAGTACAGGGATTTCTCAGAACAGTAGGAGTGCTTTGTGTTTTTATTTGAAATTACACAAAGTTAGTACAACCACTCAATTGACTCACACAAAAGAACTTGATATTCAATTAGAATGACAAAGTACAGAAATCTATGGATGCACTCAAGGAAGCAGTCTTACATTACCCTACACTAACACTAATCAACTACAAGTCAGAGTATCTAGTAGTCTTAACAGTAGATTTGTCTATCATTAGAGTAGGATAGTATATTAGTCAGGAGCACCTGGATTACAAACAGAGAATAAATCAATTCAGATTAATTAACTGGAATGTAATACAAGTACAATATTTGTAAGCAAAAATAGAGCTGTTCAGACTTTATTGTGCACTTCACACATTACACATATATCTCATAAGTGTTAAGAAATTAATTGTGGAAATGGATGCTTCATACATAAAGAGAATGATTAATAAGCCTGACCTACAGCCTAATACTATAATCAATTGCTGGATAGCCAGTATTTTGCTATTTGATTTTGAGTTCCACTACATTCCTGCATTAGACTTTAAGTGTACAGACAGATTATTACAACACTGAGTAGTACCCAAAGACCCCTCAGACAACAAAACCTATGAAGACTGGATTGATGAGTCATACAGATTTTACACAGCAGAAATAGAATCTATGTGACACAGACATTAGCTAGAGACTCACAGGTCTATAGAATACAAAGCCTTGTTAGTTGAGTGTGTAGAAACACAGTCCCAGGTTTCAGATGCAACACACTGGGAGACACACAACAACATTATTGACAAATCATTTTAAGTAAACAAGAATGTGCTACAGGCAACATGTTCTAGCAGACTGTAATGTAGTGAAACTCCTGTGAAGTGTCTAAGAGAAGATCACAGGTGATTTGTTAAGTTTGAGGGGGGAGCTAAACCACGAGTCTTAGGAGACTAGAGTGGTTCTGAACAGGTGTGAGTTCTTCTGGCACAGTTGCAACCTTAGAAGAGTGATGTGAATAACAGAAAGTGCACTTTGCAAAGTGTACAACGAACGATCTGATACAGAAAATGACAAAGACTAAAACTATGCCTCACACTAGAGGACTTTGAGACAAGAGACAAGAGCTAAATCAATGGGTGAACTATCTGAATTCCCCCTGTATCTAGTACATGAGTAGCTGTATTTATAGTTTTCTGAGTTCTGGAAAAGCATAATACTAACAGGGAAGTGTCATGACTGAACAAAAGAAAAATAACGAAATATACAAGAACAAATAAGAGAACCTTTTGCCAGAGGTTGGAAGAAAATAGGGTGAAAATGCATGAGGAAAATTTAAGTGGTCTGCATTCTAGCCACAGGAAATGTTATGCAAAAGGGAAAAGCAAGATTTACATTAAAAGAAATAGAAGGTTCTCATACTGTTATCATCTGATCAGTACAGACAAAGTGCAGAGAGTTCTGAGATTTCCAGCAGTCTCCTGAGATCAACACTTTGATTGCCCTGATGTCCTATCTGATTGGAAGATTGCAGTACTTTGATCCAGACAATGATGATGTAATGGTTTACTGAGCCACTTACTGTAACACAACTTGTGTTCTGAGCCTGTGATAAGCACATGATCCATACATCCTGTGGAGAAAACAATGTATGTAAGCCAATTCCAAGACTGCACACTCTTGCAGTTCTGTTTGCAAATGCTTGCAGTACAGAATAGTTGGGTGTTCTCAGAGTAGGCTTCTATGAGTCACATGGGTGTTTGGAATTGATTACTGTGATTGTCTGCATGTGATGTACAGTTCTTAGTGTGATGCTGATTGTTTCATCTCCTAGTGCATCTGCTTGTGACTGTCTGCAGTCACATGGTTGATTTAATGATTGGCAGGCTGAATGTAAGTTCTGTGTATGTGTGAACATTGTTGCTTATTCTTCCTGCTTCCTTCCATCACTCTCACCATGTCATTGCCACTCCTCAGCAAATCTGACAGTAAGTGTTGCACCCTTTTCTACTCTTTTTATACTGATTTTGTGATTTTCCTCAGAAATTGCACACACAACAACATAGTAGCCAGCAAGGGAATGGACATGGATGACAAGCTAGTTGAATGTATGCTCAGTGAGTACCTCTGTGAAGCACATTGTCTCTGGCTCATATGCTGATGTGCTCCACAGGTTCTGATGCAGAAAACAAACCAGAGGACAAGGTTATAAAGGAGGAAACTGATGGATTGACCATGGATCCTGAGTCTGAAGACAAAGAGAGCTCAGACAATGACACTCACAATAATAATGATTCAGAGGGTAAGGAGGTTTTGTCTGTGCTAGTAGAGGGTCAATCTGGTAGTAAGTCTCCTATTTCCTGATTTCTGATCTGTCTACTGACACAGAACATCTTGTAGATTGTAAGGCAACAGTAGAGGAGCTTGCAAAAGTAAAGGAGGACAAAGCTGCTGCTAGGGCTAAAGTAAAGGCAGAGGCTAAGAAAGTAATGTGGGCTAAGGTTAAGGAAGAGGCTCAGGCTAAGGCAAAGAAGGAGAAGGAGAGGGGAAAGGAGAAGGAGAAGGAGAAGGAGAAGGAGAAGGAGAGGGAGAAGGAGAAGGAGAAGGAGAAGGCTACAGTCTTGGCACAGTTAGTAACAAAGTAGAAGGATAGGAAGGAAAAGGAGGGGTCTAAAGGTATGTGTACAAGTATGGCTAACAAATTGTGTACAATAACTAACTGTTTGCACAGGTTCTAATACTGTTGCAAATGTGGAAAGGTTGAAGGTGGTAGTAGAAAAGGGGAACAAGCCAGGTACAAATTAAATGTATGGCTAACAAATTGTGTACTACTAATGTTGTCTTTACCTAGTTCCTGAAGAAGTTGCAAAACCAGAAAAGAAAAAGCCAGTTGTAGAGAAAGAGAAGGTTGACACAAGAAGGGATGGGAAGGAGAAACAAGTCATAGTCAGTAAGTACAAGTATGGCTAACAAATCATGCTAAGCTAATACAATGTTTCTCCTAGTTCCTTAAGCAGTTACAAAGTCAGAAAAGAAGAAAGAGGACAAAAGCAAGGAAAAAGGTAATGTGGATGAGGGGTAGTTGATTTTCTGGGTATACTGACTCCATTTTGTTGTCTAGAGCCAGTACTGGTGCTCCTAAGCAAGAAGCACACTATCATAGAGGTGGAGATTCTGGTCTCTAGCAAGGAAACACACACAAAAAACCAGAAGGTTGTGGTGGAGTCTTCAAGTGAGGAGGACAAGGATATCCCTCCAGATTGGGCAGAGGGAATGGTCTTCCACACACCTGAGTGTATGAAGTGTGCAGAGAGGCACAAGGGTCCTCAGGGATCCACTTGCCAGACTGTGATGGATTGGCTGTGCCACAGTAATCCAAGTAAGTCTGTTTCAATCTTATTTTTGACTGTGTCAATAGTGATTGTTTGCATAGAAAACCAGTGCACAGTGTGCATATTCTGTCACTCTGGATGTAGCCTGAAGGGAATCCAGCATAAGACTAGGGGGCAAACTGTAGAATTACACAGTACAACTTGGAACCTACATTCTGTCATCCCTCTGATCATACATAGTGAAGCTGGAACAGTCTGCAACCTCTACTCACAGATGACTAAGGAGCTGAATGACTTGGAGTTGTAGCTGATGATGATGAAGAATGAGTTTGATGTAAAGATCATGGCTCTAAGACAGGGTATCAACTTCTTAGCCATGGCAGCAGAAGCCTCTGTAGATAGTGGGGTGGAAGAGTTAGAGTAGGAAATAGAACAGGGTAGAAAGTAGAGAAATAAAAGTCCAGTTTTGTTTTTATGAAAAAAACCAGAAACATAAGGAATAAACAGAATGGAACAGAAATGGATAGAATGGATAGGAAAATAGATAAAATTAGAGAGTTAAGAGGAATGGAATGGATGGATGGATATTTTTATGATTTATGTATAGAACTAGTGGAATAGGATGGGAATAGGTGGAAAAGAATCATAATTTGTATAAAGGTTTATATGCTTATAGAATGTTGTATGGGCTTTTTGCAATTTATTGTAAATGAGAAGGAATGTAACAGAAGATTGAAAGTATGTGAATATAAAACATAACAAAGCATAGGGAACTGTAGTAGAACACAGTATTTACAGATTTACACAACTGTTAGGTGTTGCTAGTAGGGAATCAATCCCTATATTTTAGTTTCCAGTACAAGACTGGGAGGGTATATTGAAAAATTGTGCATTCTTGAATCAGGAGTCTGTGACTTCTGTGCTTGGTTCTACTTCAAGCATAGCATCTGAAGCACAGTCGTTTAGATCATCTGTATCCTTGTGACTAGTCCTGTACAGTTCTGCATCTTCCAGCATTAGTTCTGCAGCCTTAATGAGATGCAAGATAGGAACTGTTAAATGTGAACATGGAAAATACAGAATTAGGCAAAATACTGTGATACATAACTTGGCCACTGCTCTGTCCAATTCTGCTACAACATAAGCATTTCCTTTTGTTCTTTGCACCACTACAAACAGTCCAAGGTATTGCAGTTTCATCTTTCGTCCTAAGTTGTTGCTCACTTTTGAATTGCAGATTAGTACTAGTGTACCTGGAGCAAAGTTGTAGTCCTTGATCCAATTATGATTGACTTCTGCAAAATGCTTTGCATATCTTTTGCAGGCTTTCTGTACACCTTCCATCATTTGTGTAAGGTTGTCTGGTCTCTTCTGCAATTGTTGCACTTGTATTACTATCAGTTCCTCTGTTGTTAGTGGCAATCCTTTGGGTGGAACCAAATATGTTGCCTCATTCAGGTCAAACAGTAATATTGGCTCTACTCTATGAACAAGGTAATAAGGAGAATATCTAGTTGCTTTCTGAATTGTAATCTGCTCTGCCCAGAACACAGAATGTGTGTACTTATACTAATGTCCAATATTGTCTCCTACTGTTTTTACAATTGCTTCCTGTACGTCCAAGTGTTTCTGCTCAATAATTCTGTTTGTGTAGGAGTTATACATGGAAATCTGAATATGATTGATGTGGTACTGTTCTTGTAAATAGTCCAGCACTACAATGTAAGGTGTTCCATTGTCTGTTACAAGCTCAGGACATGCCCTGTATCAGTATAGAAGTTCTTCAAAGATGAACTGTCCTATTGTCCTTCTGTTCTCTGTGTGAAGCATGCAAAACTCTGGATACCCTGATAACAAACAGTGTGCATACACAATATATCAGAATCTTCCTGCTTTCAGCATAACCTTTGTATCTATGTGGATCTTTTGGAAAAGCAGCACAATCTCCAGAATACTTGGTGGAATCAGCACTTGTTGCATCTGCTGAGTCTGACATGTATGACAAGTCCTAATGAAGTACTTAATGTCTTCTGCAAGAGATGGCCACCAGAACCGATCCAGTAAACAGGCTTGTACTGCAAAGATTCCCTTGTGTCCTAAGTCTTTGTGTGCTATCCTAACCAACACCCATCTCCTGTCCTTATCTGGCACAATCCAATGCTTTCCTTTGGGACCTCAATGTCAAATCTTGTTGTTCTGTATGAAGAACTGTACAGTGTATTGTATAAACCTTGGAAAATCAGTGTCTGCAATTCCACTTGGTTTGCAGAGTGAGCCAAGATACTCTTTCACAGCCTTCAGTCTTGCTTCTTACCTTTCAGCAGTTGGTGATTGTAGGAATCGTTCTACTGTTGCATCCAAACCCTCAGTCTTGTTACTGTGGATACTGCACACAACCCCTATTGGCTCTAGATTGTCACCCTCTGATTTGTCATCTGCTCCCTCTACCTCCTCAGTTCCTACAACTCTGCAAGACTCTCCTCCAGGTTCCTGCTCCTGTAGTCCTTTGTCTGCTTCATCTTCTACTCTTCTGTGTTCCAGATTGGGTCGTTCCAGTTTATCTTGATGTATCCAATTCCAGTTCTGTTTCAGAATAATGACTTCCAGGAATAATCTACATTACAGTCTGCCAGAATGTGTTGCCTGTAGTGTGTCCTTGTTTACTTGAAATGATTTGTCAATAATGTTGTTGTGTGTCTCCCAGTGTGTTGCATCTGAAACCCAGGACTGTGTTTCTATACACTTGACTAACAAAGCTTTACATTCTGTAGACCTGCAAATCTCCAGGTGATGTCTGTGTTGCATAGATTCTATTTCTGCTGTGTAAAATCTGTATGACTCGTCAATCCAGTCTTCATAGGTTTTGTTGTCTGGGGGGTCTTTGGGTGCTGCTCAGTGTTACAATAATCTGTCTGTACACTTGAAGTCTGATGCAGGAATGTGGCAGAACTCAAAATCAAATAGCAAAATACTAGCTATCCAGCAATTGATTGTAGCATTAGGCTGTAGGTCAGGCTTATTAATCATTCCCTTTACATATGAAGCATCCATTTCCACAATTAATTTCTTGACACTTATGAGATATATGTGTAATGTGTGAAGTGTGTGATAAAGTCCAAACAGCTCTATTTTTGCTTGAGAATATTGTGCTTGCATTACATTCCAGTTAATCAATCCAAATCAATTTATTCTCTGTTTGTGATCTGGGTGCTCCTGACCAATATACTATCCTACTCTGATGATAGACGAATCTACTGCCAAAACTACCAGATACTCTGACTTGTAGTCAATTGGTGTTAGTGTAGGGCAATGTAAAACTGCTTCCTTGAGTGTGTCCATAGATTTCTGTGCTTCATCATTCTAATTGAATATCAAGTTCTTTTGTGTGAGTTGATTGAGTGGTTGTGCTAACTTTGTGTAATTCTGAATAAAAACACAAAGCACTCCTACTGTTCCAAGGAATCCCTGTACTTCTGTAACACTCTTACAAGGCAGCCAATCCCTAACCTTCTGTATTTGCAATTCTTCAGCCTCTCTTCCCAAATACATCAGCTTATACCCAACAAATATTGTGGATTTGTTACAAAGTATCATCTTCTTTCCAGAAAACGTCCCTCCTACAGCTTTCACTCTCTGCAAAATCTGGTTTACATTCATCAGATGCTTGTAAACAAACTTCTGTACTCCCTTGTTCTCAGGAAGTGTTTCCTCTGTTCTGTCTGCTTTCTCATATCTCGAGTAGGGTCCAAGTACCAGAACATTGTCTGTGTATGGGTTTGTAACATTCAGAATCTTGTTACAAAGAATAAACACTAAGTCATTATGCAGAATCTGTACTGAGTTGGTGTAACCCATTGGCAATACTGTCAAGCAAAATGTCCCTAGAGGCATCTGGAATGTTGTCAGATCTCTAGACCACTCATCCAAACTCCTCTGATCAAACACAATATGCAAATCGAGTTGTATATAGTATACACAACCTCTACAGCTTTCTGTGATTAGTTCCATGTTTGGCAGAATGGCTGTGTCCTTTATTGTAACTGTGTTTAACCTCTGCAAATTGATAATAAATTGTAAGGATACTCCATCTTTCTTTGTGATGCAAAACCATCACAATTGATAGGAGGAATTCAACAGTTCTATCACTCTGTTATACAACTTCTCCTTCAACAACTCAATCACCCTCTTCTCAATTCTGTGTGCAATTGGAATGCTTTTCTCTACCCATGGTACATGCTCTACAGTTGGAATTCGAATAGGATTGAAGTATGTGGGGTCCAATGTTCCTTGCTCCTCTTCTGTCCACACAAACACTTCTGACTGTAGCATTAATAGGTTTTCTACAAGTTTCCATTCTTCCAGCCATAGGAATCCTGATTGCAATTCTCTAATTGCTTGCATCTGTTCTTCTGTAAGTTGGCTGGTAGGCACAAAGGGCTGTGGTATTGTTGGTAATATAGGCATTCTGGCTAGAGGATTAGGGTGCTGTTGTCTGACTATGCAGAACTCCTCTGGAAGCACTCTGGGTACAGGGCACACCTTATTTGCAACTTTCTTGTAAGCCCACAAAACTGTGTTGAGTTTGTCATCTAGTGTATTGAGAATTACTGACTTCTGTGACTCTGCTGCCTCTATCATCCATGATTCTGTGACTTGTGATCCCTGACTACAATCCTTTCTTGCATTTACTCTATTTCCTTTGTCTCTTCCTCTGTATAGAATCATTGCCTTACTATTACTCTTCTGCTTGTTTGTTCCTAATCCACTTGTCATATGTGCATCTCCCCAGAATTGCAGTGTTTCTGGTTCCTTGACACTTCTCAAAAATCCGTCTCTGGCTCATATTACAGTGCCCTCACTCTGGTGGACAGAGACCACCTCCTTAACAGATCATTCAGGTCCTGAAGCATTATGTGCTGCTCCCTATTCATGAAATCTTTGGTTTCACATTCTGTAGTCACAAAGAACAGTCTACCTAGCAAGATCCTGAACAGAGCTTTCTGTACAACTTGTACTGTAATATCTATGTGAAGCATTCCTATAGAGAGTCACAACCTTGGAATCTGTTCTACAGTCAATCCCTGACTAGTGTCTGCTGTTTCAAGCATAACAGCCATATCACAATCCAACAGAATCTTTAATGCTTCCCATACATCAGCTCAAACTATGTTTATGCTTGATCCCTGGTCTAGCACACAATCTACCTCAATTTTTCTGTCTACTATTGCCTCAAGTGTACAGAGTGGAAGCAAATGGTTAACTTCTGCTAATGTGTTGTGATACTGCTACAGCCTACTATTGTTTGATCCTACAACAGGCAGTTCTCCACTGTAGAACACAGTGTTTCCATCCGTTCAGCACCTTGATGTTACTAATTTGCAAGTCTTCTTCCAAAGCTCTAGAGACAATGCAAGCAACTCCCACTGTGTAATACACACTTCCTGGTCCAAGCTGTAATCTAAAACTCTTCCAGCTATTTCTGGGTCCTCAATTAGTGTGATGTAGCAGTATGAGTACTCCTTTGTCCCAGTTGTGTCTCAGTACATACTTGCTGGCACTGGTCCAATATCTGCAGGTTTTGCTACTTTGTAATCACACCCTTACTTTCCCTTCCCCTTTGCATCCTTTGCTTTTGATTGTTCTACAACCTTCTTACAGGCTTCTCCAAGCATTACTTCAAGCCTTTTGAGCTCTACAAGGTTCTCCACCTCCTCCTCTTCTTCTTCATCAACCTCTACCATTGTAACTAGTACAGGAGCTCCTGGACTGTGTGCTATGACTGGTGCAGCTTCTATGAAACTAACAGAGTGCATTTGCAACAACAGAAAGTGGCTATTAACCTTTTCCTTTAAGGTCTGCCCTATCCCAGAAATGGTGTTTCTGTTGGCTATGATAATTTTATTGTCTAGGCTCTACACACACTTCCTGTTTGTAATGTATTCCAACACTTTTGAGCAACTGTGTATAAAATGTCCAGATTCTCTACAAAACGTGCAACTTCTGTTTCCTGATCCTCTGCCTAAACCTCCACCATATCCTCCTCCTCCTGATCTTGGGCCTTACTTTATTGACTCTACTTGCAATTGCAGACTCTGAAGCACTTCCACAATGCTTGTCAAATTAACTTCTTCCTGTTTGACCAGAATCACAGGCTGACTTACAAGTGTATCCAATCCACTAACTGCTGTGAGTGTAGATCCCCTAAGGATCAACCCTGCTGTAGCTACAACTTGTACAATATTGTACACAAGTCTGTCCTTATAGTCTAGATACTTGATTTCTAACTTCTGCATCAGTTTTTCTGTAATTGCTCCATAGAACACACACAGAAAAACACAGCAAGATTCCTCTGGTGACAGCTTATTGTTAGTTGTCAAATAGGTTGCTATGAGTGTAAACTCTTGGTGGTACGTTCCCAAATTGTCCCTATTTGTAATTCCTCTCTCTGCCCATTTCTGTACTACAGCATCCAAGTCACTTCTAGCATATTGTGCTCCTGTCTTGAGACTCAGGTAATACACAATTACTCCTGTCTTAAATGTATCCCAAGATGTTTTATCTGCATTATCCCACAAATCCTCCACTTCTACAGGCACATACTTCATTGTGAGCAGAATGATATCTGCTCCAGCTATGTTGCATTTGTTTGTAAGACTTTCCATGTCTGTGAAATACCTCTACAATTCTTAGGGCTTGGTTCTGTCAAAGGATGGTGCATCACATACTCTGTAACAAGGCAGCTTCAGAACGTTCAATGTGGCCATTGGCTACACTGCCAGTCTTGGTTGTGATAGAATTTGCATGTTTACTTGTAGTTGCTGAAGTAGTTACACGTCACTTACAAGTTACTGTTACTGTAATTGGAGCTGTGTTGCTAACAATATGCTGGTTGCTAGTGTGAGTGAAGATACTGGCTGCTGGACTGTCTCTGTTTCCTGTGGAGACAACTGTGCTCTTCTGCAACACAGTGTGCCAGTTACAGTCAGTTGCAATGTTGATGTGATTTGGGAAGGTTGTAGGGTAGCTAGCAATCCTGTACACAATTCCAGGGACATGAAATGCAGCAGTTTGTTGCAAATTCAGAAATCGATTACTTGGGGATTGAGTGATGTTGCTACAAGGTCTTCTTCCTCCTCCTCTTCATTACTGACTCGAGCACTCTACTGTTCTGATGGTGTTCCTAAGGTTTCTACAATATTGGATTCTGTACTTCTAGTGTTTGGACTATCAGACGTTTCACAGTACAATTGGATTCTAGCAGATCAGTGTGTTCTACTCAATACAGGTACTGGTGCTGACTGTGACTGAGTTGACCTAAGCCCACAGGCTGGTGTCTGAGAAACCTGTTCAGGATGCTAAGAACTGTTGGAACTTGTGTTGTTTAACTATGGAAACCCCCCTCACAGTGGGCTCCAGATGAAACTCCTGTGAAGTGTCTAAGAGAAGATCACAGGTGATTCGTTAAGTTTGAGGGGGAGCTAAACCACAAGTCTTAGGAGACTAGAGTGGTTCTGAACAGGTGTGAGTTCTTCCAGTGTGGTTGCAACCTTGGAAGAGTGATGTGAATAACAGAAAGTGCACTTTACAAAGTGCACAACAAACAATCTGATACAGAAAATGATGAAGACTAAAACTATGCCTCACACTAGAGGACTTTGAGACAAGAGACAAGAGCTAAATCAATGGGTGAA